TAGTATTAATCGTGATTTGGATGATTGCAGATCTTCACCAGCATACAAGAGTAGAATAATACAACTATATGTTTCTCTTGTAATCCCAGAATGAGTTTAATCTGTGAATAAAATTAGCTCTTAATCCTGTCTCATATGTCACTGCAGATCGCTTCAAGCAGGAGTCAACCATCATCACCATCATCATCACCATCAAGAGAAGGCTGGTTTGTTCCCAGTCCGGAGGTTTATGCTCGACATGCTGTCTCTACGCTGGGCGTGTCTAACAGAACCACAGGCTACTGGCCTCACACTCTGCAGGTCACTACTGACTCACAATCATTTCAGATTAACTCTGTTCTGTTCTAAAACAACAACAAAACAACTGTTTTCTTCCTCACAGTACGGCCTGATCAGGTGTGTTCCTGACTGGATCTGGATTCTTGGCTCACGGATGTTCATCGGTTCAAGTTAGGAGCTCAAAGTGTTGAGTTTGTTACACCAGAAACAACAAACATGAATGACTTCAGACAATAAATTAGTTACAACAGCAGGCCCTGGTAAAAGATGTCAGTTTGTTTTGCTGGTGAAGCTTTAAAGAAATGTTACATCCATTTTTTTTTTTAGATGAACCTTCAGCTCAGATCTGAATTCCTGTTCAAACTGCAGCAGAGCTGGGTGTAAAATTATTTGTTCAATTCAGAGAATTGGTGAAGATCTGTAGAGCTTCAGAAACCATAAAATCAGTTTATTAAAGGTAGACAATGCTGAAAAAAATAAAAATTAACTAAACATTATGATTTAATTATGTACCGACAAGTTATTTATACGTTTGACCTGCTTATTGTGTTTTAATCTAAACAGATTAAAGAGAAGTTATCAGGTTTGTGCTGCTTCTGCAGATCAGATCAAACCCAACCTGTACAAATAAACATTTAATATTTATCATGAAAAATAAGCTACAAACTTWGAAATATCATATCAAAGTAATGTTTTCATCATTGTTTGATGGAGCTGTTTGACAGGTTGCAAAYTACTAATACATCAAATTATCATATTTCTTCATCTCATCCCACAGATTGAACAAAAAACAAACTTGAAACATGTTTAAGTTTAAATGAGTATTTCTTACCTCTTTGATTCTGTTGTGTAATTATGTCTTCAGCTGCTGTGTAGTAACACACAGTTGTGTTTGTGCCAGTGTGTGATGAGGAGGAGGAGTGAATCTGTGAGAGTTTGAAGCATCTTGAGAATTAAAATGACTTAGTTGAGATTTTGTGCCAAAGTGAGTTTTGTGTGTAGCTTTTTGTTGCAGTGAGTTTGAAGTTGTCACAGTGAAAATMTGAAGTGTGTAAAGTGATCTGTGCTCAGATTTGGACCAATAAAACTCATTCCCACATCACTGTCTGCTTCTTTCTGACTGAAATGTGAAAACTGATCCTCCTGCAGTCTGATCGGTGCCAGTGGCTTCACTAGGCCTATTTTAGGGGGGCTGGAGCCCCCCTAAAATATTTTAAAGCCCCCTTAAATAATTTTGGTGTACAAATTTTTTTTTCTTTTTTGCAAAAATTCAATATGATGTGGTCAGAATAAATGAACTTTTAATATTTCATTATTACCTAAAATATATGATGTCAGTTTCCCTTTAATTTATAGTGTAAGGTAGAGATCCTCTTTGGTGAGCC